GTGGGCAAACTACGGCCCGGAGACCATATGTGGCCCTTTAATCTTTTTAATCCAGCCCACCGAACTTGAATAATAGTAATAATAATAATAATAATTTTCAGTGTTTTGAAAGTGATTTCAATAAATAGTAAATACCGTGGGACTTGAAAGACAGGTATTTTGTTGTAATACTTTGTAATGATTTTCAATTATGGGATATTTCAATGACATGGGCTATGTTTTCTACATATCCCATGTTATTTTTTTCTCTTATGAGGTGGATTACCAAAAAAAAACTCCATCCATCTGCTCCAGGTCCGGCCCTTATGTCAAATTTTAGAACCCTTTGTGGCCCACAAGTCAAAAAGTTTGCCCATCCCTGACATAGACTAATAATAAAGGATTACTCACACATGTGTTACTGAAACAAAACACAACTTCAAGTATGTTTTTGAGTAGGTAATAACATTATAAGATGGTTAAAAGATAAATTTGTATAAAATAGGATCTTTGAACTCAAAGAAGTGGACAGACAAAGACAATCTAAAAGGAAGATTTCTATAAAATGTTTATGTATCTGCTAATTCTCATATTCCCATGCTTACAACAGTGTCGTTTCACAACATTTCAGACATTATCACATTCAAAACACACACACACCAATACAATATTAACAGGCAGGTACAACTTGTTTTTTTTTAACCAAGACTTGAGCTTTGAGATGCAGACATTCAACACAATTCAGCGGGTAGTGAAATATGAATCATTTGTTTAGAAAAATACAAATGTTTAACCTCATAAATATGCATAAGCTTGTATCAGATGTGAACTTTGATGAAAACATTTTATACTCAGGGTTTTAGAATGTTTTCTTTTTTTTTTTTTCCATACATATTTCTGCGTTTTCTTTCGGTTCCTTTGTTGCGCATAACCAGCCTCATATACACTACCCTTTTATAAATCTTCTCTTTCAACTCCTCTTTTCCATTACTGCACCGCGTTGAAAGCTTCTGAACCCACGGTATTTCACAGGTCAACAGTGTCCCATATAAAAAGTGTAATTGTTTGACAGGGAGCACGCTTTGGAGACTCGCGTTATCTTCCATCTCGAGAACATGAAATTGGATGTCATTTTCTTTTGACACAAGCAAAAAAACATTATAACCTTATTCAGTCTCCCACAAAAGAACACGGAAATACCCAGAAAGATCGGCCATTGCAGCTTGCAGAGGCATTCGATTTCACAATGTTTTAAGAAGAAAAATGTGTGGTCTGAATTTGCCTGAATGCTCCCCTGGGTTAGACTTTGGCCATGGTTTTGAACTCAGACGAGCAAAAACGGCTTCCAGCTTGCGATACCTTAGCACGCCGAGGAAGTGACGAATACAGATGTCACCTTGTCCACCCTGATTTATTTATTTGACCAACATCTGACTTTGAATTTATGACATCGGAAATCACTAGCATTAGCTCTGGTCGTAAAGTTGCATTGTTGTCAACAGGAGTCATGCAATTTCTAGGGAACCATTACAGATGTATTCAAGTGGGGTAGTTTGATTCATTGTCCATGGAGGATGATATGATAAGATTCTTTTGGGAGTCTTGAGGATGGATAGAATTAAGGAAGTCAGTAAGACACCTCCTGAGATAAAGTCAGAGACCAGATTGAAATGCTTTAGGAGGTACAGTATATACAGTAGGAGGAGCAGTGGATAGAGATCGATGCTGAGGTTGGAGCTGCTAGGAAACAGGAATAAGACCACAAGCTTTAATCATTTTTGTGGTTTTAGCATACACTGTATATAAACAGACATGCTGTAGATATGCACATACATAGCAATGATCTTTCAATATATTAGCTTCCTTAATTATTGTCTTGACCCAAGCAAGACACTAGCAGGGTAGCCACGGGGTCTTAAAAGTCTTAAAAATCTCTTAAATTTCATATTCCTAAATTAAGGCCTTGAAAAGTCTTAAATTATGTTGTCCAAGTCTTATTTTTTTCACAAAGGTCTTAAATTTCATTAGCCTATTTTCTTATATCCTCAACCAGGCTGCAGTACAATGTTAAATGGAGGGAGAAAAAAAAAAACAACAACGTGAAATCACATAATGTGAATGAACCTCTAATTTGGAGTATGCGCAAAAAATACTTTGTCTTGTTAGAATGTTATAAATGATTTTTTGACCATTTTACAAGCAATGCATACTACTGTAAATGAGTTCTGAATGAGATTTTATAATAAAAGTATTTTTGTTATTTAAACCAGTGAGTAATGATCATTATTATAATTGGATGTTTTTCATCTGCATAATGGGTGCGATGTTGGTCTTAATTTTCATTTAAGTGGTCTTAAAAAGGTCTTTAAAAAAGTTTTAAATTTGGGGTAGTCAAACCTGGGGATACCCTGACTATAATTTCATATAACTTAATAGTTTAAATTCTAATGTAGGGTAACGTAAAGACAAAAATGCCCATATCGCAGGCAGTGGTTATGGGAACTCCTACATGTGTGAGAATCAAAGATTTAGGTCAATGGTTCTCAAAGTTTCACACCAAGTAAGATCATATTTAGCTTTCCACGTACCACGGGATCTCAAGTAGGACTATATAAGGTCTAATTTGGGGCTGAACATTGTCTAAAATTAGATAATCTCTAAAACAAATATTACAGATGCACCCCATGTACTACAGTCTGAGAAATACTCCCTTACGCTGTCTCAAACTCAAACATTGAAGTTCTACCTGAATCAAAGAATTATTCCATGATATCATGGGCCCATAAGCTCTGCATGTCTAAAACCAGTCAGCTCTGTGGCTTGTCTAATCCACTGGACTTCATGTTGCTTCAGTGAAGACTCCTCCGGGGTCAGACACATCCCCCCTGGACCCCACGCTGGACCGAAGCCCTGGTCTTTCATTGCAGCTGAGAGGATCTGTTTGTCTTGGTTCAGAATAACAACAGTGTGTGTGGGGAGAAAACTCTAGTTAAACTGAAACAAAGCAGCAGGAGCATTTGTAGCTTTATCAGAAATAAATATGCGGTCTTCTGCCAACACACGCTCCGTTTGTACAGCCATGTCAGGCCTATAGCAGTATTATTTGAAAACATGGCTTCTCATGCTATAAACCTTTACAAAATTTTTACATTTCACTGTTCTGATGATTTGATTCTATTGGGGTCCTCCACCTGCTTTTCTCCGTGGCTTTGTTATTGCTTTGCCTGAAATGTTTCACAGTACGACATTAAAATATTTTGCATTTATTCAGTTACTTTCATCATAGCTACAAAAATACCTCAAAAACATGCATTCTTTCTGTGAGCATGCGTCTCCACAGATCTGCCCTGTAACCTGGCTCCTTGGTGTCATTAACTTATTTCCATGGAGATTGATGCTTTAATGTAATTTTGTGGAACATTCTAGGTAAAGCAATAACACATCCATGCATATAATATATCCAATAACATATCCAATAACATATTCAATAACATATCCATGGTCGAAACTCCACTGAAAAGTTGTGGTTAACTTAAGCACACAGAGGTAGTACAAATAAAATTCAACAATTATTCAAAAACGTGACTGTTGATACTCATTGTACCAGCTGTTTTAAACACCTAATATGTATTTGACTGTGCTAATTAATTTCACAAGCAAAGAGAAATTAGGTAAAGCTGGATTTTGACAGAAATCATTTGGATTAAAAACAAATCTGCCACCCCCATAAGAACATACTTATTTTCCTGAGATAACTTGTTTTCTCATAGATTTCTCACGTAATATGACACTGCTGTACTCCCATTTACTTACATCACTTCTCTGCTTTTCCCATTTTTCACCACTCTTTTTTTAAGGTTTGTATCGGACATGAGCTCCACACCCTTGTTTTATAGAACTATGACATCAGCCTTGTTTTGCACATGGCCTGTGTTTTACAAATGTTCTAGTCACTTTTAGCTTTAGCTCATTGTACTAAAGTTTGCAGTGAATCCATTTGTTAAAAAGTGTAATAAATCTGAGCAGAATTCGCTCACATGCGCCTTACCTCAGCGCTATTCTTAGCTAATGGAACATGAGCTCACTGCGCTCATAAAGGAGGCCAATGCTAATTAGACAATATCCCAGGTTACATTGTACATCTGAGCAGTTAGTTCTATAGCAAGCCGTGTTGGGAAAGATACAGTAAAATAATCACTTTTTGACTTTTCAGAAAAACATTTGTCAAAACACACACTTTCTTGGCACGGTTAATAGTAGACAACTGAGAGACTGGATGTAACAAAGAGTGATGTGCATTTTATTTTTATCATTTTCTATAGATTTATCTTCATGAAGATAGGCAATAACAAAGACACATTTCACAAGATGATAAAGGAACATTGTGCAGGAGTCATTAATAATTAATAATTGTTTTTTTTCTTTCTGGAGATTACTGTTCTTTGATTAAATATAATTTAAATGTTAAAATCATGTCAATAAATGGTCACATTTTTATACAGAGCTTTTTCTAGGAACCACTCACCCATTCACACACGCATTCATACACCGGTGTTCGCAGACACTGGGGGCGAGGTAGGTTAACTGTCTTGCCTGAGGACATAGCAACAGCATTCATTTTGTGGGAGATGAAATCGGACCGCCAACCTGTGGGTCAGTAGATCTGACCGCTCTACCAACGATGTTTATGTTGAGAGAGGGATTTGAACCGCCAACATTCAGATCAGTAGACAAACACTCTACCAACTGAGCTACTCATTAAAGGCCACAAATGGAAAGCAACAATTTATAATGTAGATTAATTCTTACCCTCCCTCATAATTTGCTTGTATTGTGACAATGCTTTCAAACTGTTTATCTCTGGGTTTCTGGCTGATGGAAAATTGGGATCGTTGCTGTAGCGATTAACAATTCAAAAATAAATCATCAATCTGAAAGTCCTAAAAATAACACTTATAAGAAGAATTTGAAACTCATGAATATCATCATATCTCATATCTATACTTGTCTTTTCTCCTCAGGCTCTTGGAGACTCAGACTTTCCGTCCGTGCTCCGTCAGCTGCTGCCTCTGATGAAGCCCAGAGACAGCGAGGGCTCAGGATCCACACGCGCCTCAGAGGACTGTGGTCCCGATGAGCTGGTTTTGCTGCTCATTTACCTGTACTCCCTGGCAGACGAGGCCCCACCCACTGACCAGGAAGAGGAGGAGGAGCTGGAGCGGCTGGAGAGAGAGCTGATTGGAGCACTCACACTGCTCATCACTAAGGAGGCGGAGCTCAGTCGTCTTGTGCAGAAACTCACAGGTAAGTGCTATTAGCATCATAGGAAATGAGGAGAAGCTGAGCGGAGTTGTATTGTATGTTTTTTTGTGTCATGATAAAGTCAGCGCATTTTTCCCTTGTGGTGTTATTTATATAGACTCACAAATGGCATTATTGATACTACATCAAAAATGAAGCTTGTTTTGGTGACTTGTTGGATTTCACAGTCACAGTTTGAATCAATGTTCCCTTTAAATGTCTGGATCACAAATAACAATATGTATTTAAAAAAAATCCAATGTGGTGTGAGGTAAAGTTGCAGCATGTTTTTTATGTGTTGAGGAAGTACATTTTGAATTTTTAGACCTCTTAATTTTGACTGGCTGACACTTTTGCATTGAAAGGCATTTTTGCAGTAATCTCAAAAACCAACTTTTTTAAAGCCTTCAAAATAATTCTTTATCTATGACAGAAAACGTATTCTTGGCCATAATTTCCCATTTGTAAATAATTACTAAACTTCACCCGTTGTAATGGATGATATGAAACATTTTATTGTGATAAACTTCTCAGCGTTATTGCCAAAGCTTGAAGCCAGCCAGATTTTGTGATGGTCCAAGAGTGGAGGAATTACAGTCAGAAAACTGGAACGGCTGCTGGTGAGTTTCCGCCGTGTGCCTCCAGTTCAGATAACGGCAGAGCTTTTACACAGCAGCGTTCACACCTCATCTCTCTCTCTTTTCCTCTTCCTTTCTCTTTCTCTTTTTCCTTCCTCTCTCCCTCTCTCCCTCCTGCTCTCTCTTCCTTTCTCTCACAATCTCTCTTGTTCTTTCCCTCCTCTCTCTTCCTCTCTCTCTTTCTCTCTCTCTCTCTCTCTCTGTCTATCTCTCACTCTCCCTCTCTCTCCCTCTGTTTCTCTGCCCTTTCTTTGTCTTCCCTAGCTCCTTCTCTTCCTCTTTATCTCACCTCTCTCTCTTTCCTTCTCTTTTTCTCTTCCTCTGTCTCTCTCTTTCCTCTTTATCTCACCTCTCTTCCTTTCTCTCTCTCTCTCTCTGTCTCTCTCTGTTTGTCTCTCCCTCCGTCTCTCTGTCCTCTCTTTGTCTTCCCTAGCTCTTTTTCCCCTCTTTATCTCACCTCTCTTTCTTTCCTTCTCTTTTTCTTTTTCTCTCCCTCTATCTCTCTCTCCCCCTCTTTATCTCACCTCTCTCTTTCCTTCTCTTTTTCTCTTTCTCCATCTCTCTCTCCCCCTCTTTATCTCACCTCTCTTTCTTTCCTTCTCTTTTTCTTTTTCTCTCCCTCTATCTCTCTCTCCCCCTCTTTATCTCACTCTCTCTTCCTTTCTGTCTCTCTTTCTCTTTCCCTCCTCTCTCTTCCTCCCTCTGTCTATATATCTCTCGCTCTGTCTATCTTTCCCTCTCCCCCTCGCTCTCTGTCCTCTCTTTGTCTCCCCTTGCTCTCTCTCTTCCTTTTTATCTCACCTCTCTCTCTTTCCTTTCCTCTTTTTCTCTTCCTTTCTCTCTCTCCCCCCTCATTATTTCACCTCTCACCTCTCTCTTTTTTTCTCACTTTCCTTTCTCTCCTTCCCCTCTTCAACTATCACAGTGGCACACCTGCCCACACGTGGACTTCTCTGCCAGGGCGTCTGGAAACTCCAGCACTTTACCCATATGTGTGAAAGAGAAATGACTTCACCTTTCAGAACGTGTGACACTGATAGGGTTTGTCATGCATGGAGAATAAAAACAAGCACCTAGACAGGATGGAGGATGCTGCTATTTGAGGAAGAAGCTGCTATAACATGACTATTAATAGAGTTTGTGTTTATTTGCGTTTGCCATTCTCAATGTCGGGTTCGTGATTAATTATAGAAGTGAACTTTATGTTGTCAAAAGTACTTTTCAGCTCTTTTTCTGGTTGATGGGTGGCTGAGGCTTCTTAAGTTGTATAGTTTTACTCCATTTACTCTTGTTTTTATTCAGATGTTCCAGTTCATGTATTCATATGGATAGTAGCTGAAATGAGGAGAGAAAATTGTAACACTGTGAGGATACTGGTGGTAGAAGTGTTAGCCACTGTGTAATATTACTGATTGCTATTGATTCTTTTTTCCTATAATATTCCACATAATCACAATTTGATCCTGAGTTAGAGAATCTTTACCTTACTGAACTGAACCTACGTTTACCTGCATGTTTCAACTTTAAAGGTGCACTGCGTAACTTTTCTGGCAGAGGGTCCATCACCTGCTTCTCTCCATGGAGATACTGCCTCAAATGTTCCACAGTTGCTACTTTTACATGAGAGCTTTAATTGCAAATAAAAATAATTTAATTCTGAATAAAAATTAATTCTGCTTTAAAAAGACCATGTAAACACTTAATTCCTAATGAAAATTATTATTAGTAAGTAAGCGGCTGGTTTATTCTGATCTTAAAGCCGAGTTAATTTATTCCTCAATCATGTAAATGTTTTTTATTCTTAAAAAATAATTCTGGTTGTTCATCGCATGCTCGTTGGGCGAGCTGGACGAGCCAGCTCCACCAGTCCTTGACTTTCATCCACTCCTTTTTGGATTTGCAAGCGGGATGCGGGAGTTGGCTGAGGTAGAGCAGCTACTGACTCAGTTTGTCTTCTTCCTTTCATCTCCGACACTCTTCTCTTCTCCTTCTCAACTGAGCAACCTAAAGCAGGATGAGAGAATTCTCCAGCTGCTGCTTAATGATCATCGGAACGACCGAGGAAAAAGTTTGGATCATGTTTGTGTCTGTGACGTAACGACAACCGAGATGACAAAATAGCTGGTAGCAGCTGAAGTGTGCATTTTCTTCCGGTACATAAATAAGTTTGTGTGTCCCCTGTCCAATCAGAACCCTTCCCAAACCCAAGACCTTGAGCAAAATTAAATAAAGGCGATTTAATGTGTTTTCTATGTAATTTTCTATGTAATTCCTCAATTCGGAATTTGTATTTCCATATAAACTCGAAGGAGAATATTTTAATTTGGAGCTATTTAATACAGAACAATTAATTTGGAACTAAAAAACATAATGTAAACGTGGCCAGTATGGCATTACACTTATGTATCTCTACAGAAACCGCATGTAGCATCGCAAGGCCAAGTTAAATGTCAGATCTGTGGAGAGGCGAGCCCACTCACAGTAAGAAATGTAAGTGTTTAAGTCAAGAAAAACCCATGTTGCTGAGATGGATACGTTTAATGACATACCGGGACATTTCAGACAAAACAATAATATTTCCATAGAGACGAGCAAGTGGTGGACCCTCTACCAAAAAGTTGCACAGTGCACCTTTACATTTTAGCTGTGCAAGTTTCATTAAGTAACTTTGTAGCTACCCCAAAATAAGATCTAAAATTTACAGCAGTCAGAACCAGCTTTTTGTTAAATTTGGTCATTTATTGGCATGCCGTTGTGCAGTAAAGTACAGGCTGGTGAAGCGTGTGGCAAACGGGATAAAGCCAACCCCTTTAAGATGAATGAAGTGCCTACAATCACATCGCGGGCAGCCCTACCTCCCAGAGTAATAGCCCCTTTAACCTTGAGCCTGTGCACACGCTGCCTCCTCCCAGCTGTACCACTCATAATTAGCACTACTTTTACCTCCACGCCCTGAAATAATACCTATGCGTTTATTTTTTCTTTAACCGTATCACACTTCTCTGGCTGGTGTAGCGTATAGGGTTGCTTAAACTTTGTAATAAAGATTGTTGATCCCTGAAGTGCTTTTTTTTTAGCCTAACTTTTACGTGCGGCGTCTCTGCTCTTTCCTGCTCTAGTTGGCTAAGTGCAGTTGAAAATTGGGGGGCCCTCTTGGCAGGCTCACTCTGCGATGTTAAAAAGCCGTTCTTATAAACACTCTGGTTGGAAATTAGCCTGTCGTGGCGTGCCAGGTGGACAGAAAGAATAACATTGTGTGCGAGTCAGAAGTTCACTGCCCTATTTTTTAAAAGCGTACCCCAAATGTGTCGAATGTTTATAGTAACAAATAAATTACTTTGACTCTGTTAGTTACGTGAGTACTGCAGTTTGGATAGGATTATTTATTGTGCTGTTTATATTGTACGCTTAATTGAACTTGTTGCCAGGGGACTACTAATCACAACACATTTAGACAGGTGAAGGGTAAAGTGCCTTGTCCAATGACAGTATGCAATCATAGCACTGGGAATCACACTAGCAACCATCAACTTAGTGGCCAACTTTGCTAACAGGATTGTCAAAAGAACCAATATCCAGATACTAAACAATAGTAAAATTAGATAAGTATTTAAATGGTGATAATAGGAGTAAAAATACAATAGTTTTATAAAGTCTGGATATTTTTAAACTATTTACCATGTTTTTTGGACTAGTCACACCAGCCAAAAAATGTGTAATGAAGAAGAAAAAAAACATACATAAGTCGCACTGGACTATAAGTTGCACTTTTGGGGGGAAATGTATTTTATAAAATCACATTTCATCTTGAAAGGCCAGTTATAGTAATAACAACAGACTGAATAGGCGTCTGGTATGTTAACGTAATATATGAACGGTTATTCAGATAATTATAGCATAAATAACAGAACAGAACAAGTTTACTAAACTCTCCATCTCACTCCAAATCACTGACTCCATTGAATCCATTGAATTTGTCATCCTTGGTGTCACTTCTGAGCAACTCCACGCAACTTCGGTTGTCACTGAAGTTCAGGCTTTGTTGATCCATCCAATGACTTCCAGGAAAGTTGCATGATGCACCCTACCTGGTTACCGTGAAGCTGTGTTCTCCATCCCCGCTCTCCACCAGTCCCTCACAAGTTTCTCGCTCACTCCAAACTCCAAACTTTCTACTGCTCAATTACTGTTTTCAGATGAATATTTCACTACTTGCAGCAGGACACCGACTTTTTCTGCAGGAGCCCTGTGCAGAAAACTGATACACAAGCCTACAGTGCCCTCTCACAGCTGTCAGTCTAAACATTTTAATATACAAGTTGCACCAGAGTATAAGTCGCAGGACCACCCAAACCATGAAAAAAG